GGGACTCTGAGGCTGGGACTCCTTGGCTGCCCCCAACCTCACTGTGTCCAGCCCTGGTTGGAGCTCCTGGCTGCTGGACTCCCAGCTTCCCATTCCCAGCTGTGGGGGCTCTTTGGTCCAGCAACATCTCTGGTCCGGACCGCGGATGTTGCTGGACCAGAGAGTCCCAGATTTAGGAGGTTCAACCTATATTACCTGATAGTTCATATCTACCTTTGTAGTATGGGTACAAAAGACAAGAGCATACAGAAAGAGAATGTGATTGTCTGTATTACATATAAGTTCTGGAGTGTTCCCTGTAGAAACCTCACCTAAAACTCATGATTTAGATTATGTTCTTCCTGCAGACAAAGCATCTCAGGCTGTGATCTGTCAGATCTCAAAACTAAACAAATTCAGGCCTAATCAATACTTGGATGAGACACCTCCCCAGGTACTGCAGGAAATGCTGATGATGATTCATTAGACAGCATTCATCCCACTGAGTCAGTACTGAACAAATGCCATTGCATGATATTAGTGACAGTGTGCTGCTGGAAGTTTGTCTTTTGATGAGTCAAAAATCAGGACTTCACCCATTAATATTATTGAGAGATCCCAAAGAGCATGGGGTTTAATCCTCATGTCCTTGCTCATTTGGGGCCTTGGTCACCCTCAATTCCTCCTGCAGTTTCAATGGACATCAGTTGTTTAACAAAACAGAACACCATGCAAATTAGAACAGTAGATTAATAACATTATATATTTCTATTACAATATTATATATTCTTCACCTACTGTGCTAACTTGTATAATGTTCTGTGCTATTAAACAGCTGCTGACTTTCAATCTAAGTTGTGGGTAAAGTCAAGCAGTTTGCATAGTGTTTTGGGATTATATACAATTCTGTCCTCTCCTACAAGGCAAACTACAGTATAGACTCAGATGAATAGTCACTCAAACTGACAACATTAAGTGACTGGAAAACCTGAGAGACCAATACAAGGCCACTGTTATCTATTTTGTGTGCATACACTAATAGATTTATTTTTCCAAAACCAGAGGATTAGACAATGCTGAAGTAACGCTGAGATCATTCATCCGGTCACCTAGCATATCCAGATCTGAGTAGGTATCAGAAGGCTGGCCAATATTTCTTCCCTTCGTCTATTAGGGGACTTGCCAAAAGGGACCCAAGAGGCAGAATCTCTTGTACGATAGCCAAATGACGCAGAGGAAGAAATCTATTTTTAGTTCCTAAGAGGTTCTCACTGGGCACCCAAGTGTGCATGGTGAACAGTTTGGAACTGAATATTTTAGGTGAGCCCAGGAAACAAGGACCTAAATCAACTGTATTAATAGGGTATGACTCATTGTTTTTCCCCATCAGATGCATTCTGGATTGCTACAGTAAAGCCTCCCTTCTGCAGCTCTTCTGCCTTTAGTAAACAAAAGAGTGCTTTTTCCAGAGAATTCTGAAGCCTTAGCTGTGCAAAAATATTATAATTTCACATGTGTATTAAGTCAGGATTGGGGTTCCCCTGGAAACCTTAAATATTGAATACTGGAACAAGCCCTGCCCTCCAGTTCCCTTCATCTTTATGGGGAATGGGGACAACCTCCAATTGAAAAGATAAAATAAAAACCATATAATCCAGCAGAGGCTTTGAATTTTAGGGTTATATATATATACAGGGCTTGCCAAACCGCGGTAAGCCCCACTCGCTGTCCGGCGATCTGCGCATGCGCAGATCGTCCGAACCTGGCTCTTCCGGGTTGTAATCTAGTCGCCACTTCTACTTTCATTATTTGTCGAGCCCTGTATATATATATATATATGAATACACCTCCGGTATCCCAAAATAGTTATTTTGTGCCTTTTAAACAAGCCCGTTATTTCGAAATAGCTTCTGAAATAACATGCTCACTATCCTGATATCCCTGTAAACATCATTTCATGAGGATTAAGGGACATTATGGAATAATGGTTTATTTTGAAATACACTTGAAATAAGCTGTGCAATTTGCATAGCTCAAATTGCATAGCTTATTTCGAGCTATGCGGACAGTGTAAATGCACCTTAAGGTGCCACAGGACTACTAGTTGTTTTTAAAGTTACAGACTAACATGGCTACCTCTCAGACTCCCCTCTATTATTTCCCTCTGAGAAGTTTAAATGGCAATGCTCTTTATCACTCTTACATATAAGACTCAATAAGCATTTACTTTAAAATATGAATAAATGTATGAAAACAGATGCTTTAAACTACAAGAACTTCTCAGCAGTAACAGTTTATGTACTGCATAAATTCTAATTTTCTTGTGTTATCGAATAAATTGTGGAGAACTTAGTGGTCATGAAACTGAGGGTCAGCGCTGGGTCTACACAGGCATATGGGATCTTCAGCCAGACCTGAATCATCCTTGCCATATTTGTCCAGAGCCTCGTGAGAAAACCAGTCAGGCTGGTTCATTTGGTGGTTTTGTGATGTAATAAAATGGTTTACATTGTAAAGATCCTATTTCAATATCAGGTTGATGGATCAAAATAAAAGTTTATTGTGCTATATTTAGAACTAGATATACTTAATTTCAAATGTAAAATCCATGTTTGTGGAGGATAAGAAGGAGTCTAAGATTTAAAATACATTATCTGCATTTCTACATAATCTGACAGACTGTTATCAGAATTCAAGCTATTTTGAGAGGCTCCTTATAATACATTTTATACAGCACTAAAACTTTTTACAAGAACTGCATTAGAGTAAATGCTATATAAGATTTAATTTACATATTTTTATTAAAATGTCAGCAGTGGCCTTAACAAGTAACAAGCCTGGCATTTCCCCCTGCTATTCATAATATGGATGATGAAGGAAGCCATCTTCTGGCATAGAAGCTTATACTAGGCAAAAGTGTAAAACTATTGTACCAGAGTGAATAGGAGGATTAAAGGCAAAGGACACTAATCCACTCAGATAACAAAGTTCAAGTGTTCAACATTTGGATTATAGAGGTAGAATTTCATTCAATATCCACAATTTATAGATAGGGCCCTACCAAATTTCATGGTCCATTCTGGCCAGAGGATTTTTAAATTGGTCAATTTAATAATTTCAGATGTTTTCATGTGAAATTTCAGGATGTTGTAACAATGGGGGCCCTGCCCCAAAATAGAATGGGGGAGGGTTGCTAAGGTGTTGGGGGGGGGGAGGGTCAAAGATTTCCACTGTCACTTTTCTTCTGCCTTCAGATCTGGGCTCCGAAGGCAGCTGTTGCTGAATTTTCTACAGTTAGAAGAGGTTCCCAGAGATGGAGGTGGGTACTGGGATTTCTCCCATTATGCTGGGAGTGTCTGTAATATAATGGGTTCTGGGGAATGTTGGGGAGGTGTGTGTGAGTGGCAGATTCTCCTCCACCTCATTGCACTGTCTCTGGGAGTGGATGCTGCCCCGAGACTGCGGGCACTCCAGAATGTGCATGTGTGTCTCCATTCTGCAGCCTCCTTTTAGTGGTGGTTTATGGTAGAAGGGTGCCCACCCCAGTGTCAGGAGTAAGGTAGGCCTGTCCAGACACTCTGTGAGCCAGAGCACAAGGGTCCTCTGTTGTTGCCTCCTGGGGCTGTGTGTCCCAGACTGGCGCTCCAGTGCACCCATGTGTACAGACTGCTGTGTGATTCCCAGGCTGAGAAGGCCAAACGAGGAGCATGCAGCAGCCCCTGGCTGCCCACTGCCTCCACCCGTGTGTGTATAGGGAAAGTAATAGCTCTCACCTGAGGGGCCTTCCCTGGCTTTGGATGATGCCCAGGGGTGCCGGCTCTAGGGCGACCATGACCTCCTGGCTGGCAGGCATCGAGTTGGTGCTGGCTTCGTCTGGCTCCTCCTCTACCTCCTCCTTGGCTTTGTCCCCCAGGAGGGCAGTGATGGAAATCTCTTGCCCTGAGTCCACAACAAAGGAGGGAAAAGGACTGATCCGCCCCCCAGGATATGGTGGAACTTGGCATAATATGGGCTGTGCTCCCTAGCCTTGGCATAGGCCTGCCTAAGTTCTTCCATGTGCACCTGCTCTTGGGTGCACAAGTGGCCCTTGGTGGCTAGGGTATCGGCCATCTGACCATAGACATCTGCATTTCTGAGTCTGGTGCAGAGATCCTGGAGGTTTGCCTCCTTTCCCCAGACCTCAATAAGGTTCAGGATTTCTGCACACGCCTCTTCTGTGCCTCTGCAGGGTCCTGGGAGCTGGCTGCTAGTTCCTTTACAGCTGTGGAGGGATCAGTGGGGGCATCGGGATCATTCATGGTAGCAGAAAGCGCTGGTCTGGCAGCTGCTATGTGACTCAGGGCTGTCAGGGCCTGCTGTGTGCCGCACACTGTTTCTCCTGGGGCTGCAGCTTTAAGGGCTGCAGGGGAAGGGAAGCTATAGAGTTTTGATGAGTGTGAACAGAGTGGCCCTCAGGGCACTTGTGAGATTTCCTAGAGGCTTCTTATTTCAAAATTACTCAAGCTGCCCTGTCTACACACACCCTATTCTAAAATAGCTATTTTGTAATAGGTGTTATTCCTCATACAAGATGTGGGAGGGGGCTCAGGGCTGAGACAGTGGGTTAGGATGCAGGGTGTATGTGTGAGGACTCTGGCTGAAGGTGTGTACTCTGAGGTGAAGTTGCAGATGAGGCATTTGAAGTCCAAGAGACTGCTCCAGGCTGGGATTGAAGGCTACAGAGGGTGGAAGGGGGAATCAGGGTTGGTGCAGGAGATTGGGGCACGGGAGGGCAGGGGGGTTCAGAGATTCAGATTCCAGGCAGCATTTTCCTCAAGCAGGTCCCAGAGGCAGTGGCATGTCCCTTCTCCAGCTCTTATGCAGGGGAGCATCCAGGTGGCTCTGCATGCTGCCTCATCTACAGGCACTGCCCCTGCAGTTCTCACTGGCCATGGTTCCTAGCCAATGGGAGCTGGAAAGCAGGCACTTGGGATGGGGGCAGCATGCAGAACCTCCTGGCTGCCCCTACATGTAAGAGATGGGGAGGGAGGGACATTGCATTCATTCCAGGAGCTATGCAGAGCCACGGCATGTAGTGTACCTGCCTTAGACCTGCTTTGCCATTGGCTGGACTTTTAAGGCCTGCTCCGTAGTGCTGACTAAAGACACCAGAGTCCCTTTTCAACCAGGCAATCTTGTTGAAAACCAGACACCTGGCATCCCTAAGTGAGGACCCAGCTGCCTGTGATGTCCTGAAATATAGCTTCTCATTTGAGGAATTTTTATATTCCTTTTGTGATTTAATTTCAAGAGTTTATCTTGATAGCAAGGTATAACATTAATAATATCCTGGCAAATTCAAAGCATGCCCATAGCAATGAGTATATAGAGCTCATGGTTGCTCCTGTTGCAATCTGTTTACTAACTCTGAAACTAAATCTGCTGTGTCTGAGGCAGCACCACAGCATTATCCACAACAGCAGGTGATCCTCAGATACAGTACTATAATACATCTTTAATTATTGATAAGATTCCCTCTACTGGCATAACGGCTACTTGGACATCCAGTGAGCTATTCAATAACATTTGCTTCATCATCCACATATCACAGGGCATAAAACAACTTCTCCACAGTTCTTTGTTGGAGAAGTCTATTATTTCATCTGCCTACCATAATTGCATACCTCTTTCCAATAACTTTCTCAGAATGATCCCTCACTATTTTCAGAGCCGTGATTTCTGTTATCAATTCTCTTTTTGAAGAATGGATTTTTGAATTTGTCTTGACTCGTTTTCAGACACTTTGCAATATCTGGGAGTGTTTAATAGAGATTTGGAGAGGGTTAGCCTTCTTCAGCCTCCATTCCCTGTCACCAATGAAAAAGCTTCATCTGTGTATATTTGCAAAAGTAGTTTGTGTAATAAGCTGAATGACAGTAGAAACAAATATGCTATCATTACTTCAGAATAATGAAACCACTGAAAATCATCAAAGTTATTCACAGGGGAAGATGTAAGTCTCAGAAATGTTAAGGGTATCAGGCAACTCATATTTGATTCCTGTTACAGATTATCACGGCAAGAGCTTGGTACTTCAGAAAGCGATCTAGTTGCTGGTGAAGTATAATTTCCTCCTTTTTAATGAGCAATGTTTCAAGCTATTTAACTCCTTGAAAATATGCCCTTTGTTTTTGTTCTTAATTTAGTCACTCCTCAGGGAGTCACTAATTCCTGTAGTCTTTGACCAGAGAGGCTAGGCATATAATATCAGCACAACAGGTGGTGGTATGTATGTGAGTATCTCTGATAACTATGTATCTGAGTCTCAAATAGGATGAAAGAAAAAAAAATGATTAATTGTCTAACTCTGAGAAAATACATTAGAGTGTAACCATATTTCAGCATTGCCTTTGTCAATTTTATTGGTAATAGAAAGTGAAGCATCCATATATTCTGACATTAATTTCTGATTTGCTGAAATGGACAAAGATATGTGAGGTGCATTATGTACCTTCCTTAAGTTACGTAAGAAGACTCTTGCTCAGAGATGAAAGTGTCCTCCTTACTTTGATCCTTCCATACCAGATGGTCTTTATTAGCAGTCAAAGTATAACCAGTAGCATACACATTGTATTATGCTGTATCATGAGAATTGAGATTTGAATATAATGGTAGCATTTTATGCAGAAAAGGCTACCAGAATAGGCATCCCTATTTGTGATAAAAGAGTATGGGATTTTAGCTCTCCATTAGATAGATTAATTATTGGCTTGTAGCAATGAGTCCAGAGTTAAATTGCAGGAGACATATATTTTACTCCCTTACATAGTAAATGTCTTTTTAAAAAATCATCTGGAGCTTGAATCTTTCCTTGCTTAAATTTCACTCTAACGGTGAATTTATTTTTCATTTGGAACATTAATATGACATCTGCTGAATGATTATGGCACTGGAAGAAGTAAAATTCCTTAAAAATATATAGCCCTATATTTTGTATGTAATCAAATAACAGAAAAATAGTTTGCAGCACAGATTCACATTTATCAGGGACTTAGTGCCATAGCCAGAGACATGGGCAGCCTGTGTGTACTGGTCAGCCGCTAAATTGCAGTCAGGATAAGAGTAGCAGAATTGGGAGCAAGCAGGGTGAGGATACAAGACGACCTGGGTCAGGCACCAAGTAGCAGGTGGCAGGCAAATAGCAGAGGGGTAGTTGAGCTGGGTCAAGATAGCAAGAAATTGGGGTCAGAAACCAGGTTATAGACAGGAAGCACATAGCAAAGCTGAGTACAAACCAGGGTCAGGAGCTAGAGTGGAGGGTCTGCCACCAGCAAGGTCTAGAGCCAAGACAGGCATCCTGCATTGTTGCTCACACAACTTCCCCTGGTTTAAATACTAGCATCAGTTAATAAGTGGGCTGTGAAAGGGCCACCACTCAGGCCAGGGGTGGGGGGGGCGGGAGGCGGCAACAGAATTGCCCAGCCCGGGGGCAAGACAGGGAGTGGCTCTGTGCTCCTGGGAGGGGTGAGGTTTTGGGTACAAGGGTCTGGTGGCTAGCCTCCACCACACTCCCCACCTTCTGTGCCACCTGCAGCTCCAGTGGTGATTTAAAGGGTCTGGGGCAGCCCCTTTGCCCTCCCCTGCCAGCAGTGTCAGACAGCGCTTCTTGCAGAGCCTAGCCCCAAATGATCCTGCAAGGGAACACAGACTAAGCTTCCAGGGATGAGGCAGAAGCATCAGCAGAACAGAACCCCCATGGTTCCACCTTTGATTCCTGCCGGTTCTTACATCATTTCCCTCTCCCCTCAGGTCCTCTGAGGCAGTGCTAGTCCAGGTTTGTGCAGATGAGCATTGTGGATTTCCCCCACCTAGTTAGAGTCAAGGACATGGGAGGTGTCATAGCCTTCCCAGTCTGCCAGATAGTGCAGGTGGCCATGCATCTGTTGGGAATAAAAGATGGCATGAAGGCAGCAGAAGGACCTTGGATTTCTCGGCTGTCACAAGTGAAGGGGGGTTCCTTCAGCTCCCAGTCACAGACCCTAGAGTTCCCAGATGGCACGGGTGATGTTGGGCCCCTTCAACTCTGCGCTGCTGAAGTTGGCGGGAGGTCCGCAGCACTCTCAGCCACTGTGGGTGGTGAGGGGACCCTGGATGTCCAAGCACCTGTGGGTGCCCAAGGGACCCTGGAGCCACAGTTGTGGTGGATGCTGGATCCTCCCTTCCCATTTTGTCAGTTATTGTTAGTAAAAGATAGGGATGGGTCATAGGCTTTCTTGAATTTTTGTTTGTTGCCTGTAACAAGTCCCTGACTTTTACTAATAATAACCATGGACAAATCTTAACCTTAATTATAAATGCTCTGATTGTTCACAGCAATAGATATGAACATTTACCATGTGCCCATGAATCTCTCAATGTTCAGAGCATTGTTTCACTGTTCTTCATCCAGTTTGTGTTCACTGTGTCTCACATTCATTCTTGAACTTATTCTCTTTTATTTATTTCCTCAGTGCAGTTTCTCCCCCTCCCTCACACATGTGATTTAGGCCCAGATCATGATCTAGTACCCCCTGTTCATTTGAATAGAGGGGGATAAAAAGTGGACAGAGAGTTGGTTCCAGCCTACTACTGTGGCTTCTACATATGACACTGAAGGGTTGATGCCGTGGATCAGAACAAAATGCTGCCCCTTACTCAGGGCAGATTGTAGAGCGGGTTCTTCAGCTGCAGCACCTTTTATCTCCTTGATTCCTCATTGGGGCCTGGTCTATACTAGACCAGGAAGGTTGGCTTAAGGTACACAACTTCAGCTATGCAAAATGCGTAGCTGGAGATGGTTTACCTTAAGCTGAGCTTTGGTGGCATCCATACTGAGGGAAGCCAATGGGAGCCAACACTCCCATTGGCTTCACTTACTCCTTGCAAAAGGAAGAGTACTGGACACCAGCAGGACGTTCGATTTACGGGTCTATACTAGACCTGCTAAATTGAACGCTAGAAGATCAACCTCCAGAGCGCTGATCTTGCGGTAAGTATAGATGTGCCCTGAGCGTATTCTTTTTTTTTCTTAACCATTGGTCTTAAGGAAATCTCCACGGTGGCTTGATTTTCTCTATCTGGAGCTACTACATTGTCTCTTTATTTCGAGCCTCTAGGCCAGGGGTTTCCAGCCTTTTCATCATAGATACCTACTCTGTACCAGCATAACATTTGAGCCTACCCTGCAGCATTAGTGAAAGAGAACTTAGATGTAATTAATGTGTTTTGGTTGAGTGCAAACTATTAGGGTGATATTTGATACCACATCCTGTCTACTTGTTTTTCAAAATTTGGTGCTGATATGTTAATCTATTAGAGATGCACAATACTTGGGTGTGGTAATAGTTGTAGCACAGATATTTCTGTAGGCCAGAAGAAAGTTCCCATGTTAATAGATTAGGTATTTTGCTTTGTGTAAAAAAGTCCACAATTCAGCATCCTTGCATCTGTCGTTCAACTAGCTATCAGTTTGCAGGGTGACAGTTTCCATTCATACTGTATTACCATTCAAATGGAACATTTCATTCACTCGTCTCATTAACAGTAGCCAGATCATTGCTGTCAACTGCCACAAAAGGGCTGGAAACAAATACTGGTTATGATTCTAATTTCTTACCCTCACAGAAAATTCGGAGACTGTGTCAGAAAAAAATAAGTTTTATAGGTGTCTTGAACTATATAGAGTTTAACAGAGAATTATTGCATATCCCTGCTGTAGTGACATGCCTCAGCAAAAGAGTGGACAAACCTTCACTGTCCACAAAATCAATGCAATGCAGAAGGCACCCATATAGGCTTTGCCATACCACAGCATGAATATATTTCAATCCTGTTTTGGAGGGGCCATATATAAGGCTGAGAGAGTAGCTTCATCTGAGTCTGTTAATTCCCCGGGCTTCCTGATAGAACTAGCAACAAAGAAATGTGTTGTTATGATTACTGTTGTGATGTGGACATAAGCTCACTAGGAATTAGGCTGACTTAGATCAGCTACTTATTTTAGTATCTACTGGACAATTTTCTTCTTCATGTAGGTGATTTTTGGTTTAAAACAATGGAACTATTTAAGGCATGTTTTTGTATCAGAAGCTCTTCCAGTTTTGTTTCCAGGAGTGTTGGAACAATTTTTATGGTGGGGGCGATGATAGCTGTTGTACCAACTGGAAACCCTGTATATGAGGGAAACCATTTCAAGCTAGGAGATTCTGCAGCACCTTCCAGCCTCGAATACTAGTTTCAGGACCTATGTTTGTTACTTGTATGGTTTGCCATGAGGGATACATTTGAATGTTCCTGCAGAATGGGACAATCAAAATCACAGACTGCCTACTTCAATTCTGCTAATGTGTTTCAGTTTTCTGCAGTTGGTGCTATCAACAAGAAAGAGATATTTTAATTTGTGGCTTCAGCAAAGGATGTCATGCTAATGCTGCAGGAAGCTGGGGAGGGATGCAACAAAGACAAAAAAAAGTTGTTAAAGATTTGTGAACTGGTGGGTTTAAGTGTTTCTTAATGTGTGTGTAAAATGTTCCTATGCTGTGCACAAGGCCCCTTTAAAAAAAAAGAAACAACATTTCCTCTTGGGTTGGAAGTTAAATTTAACCCGATAGCTATAGCATTTCCTATTCTAAGTAAAAAAAAAAAGGGCCTAACTACTGTGGCAAAGACAAATACACCATTGTGATTACTGTCATCTTTTAAAATTATTGTACTGTTCTGCAGGCTTGGAGCAGTGAAAAATATTTAAGTTGCTGAGTACTTTCCAGGGTATTGGTGCACTTGAATGTGTTAGATTTGTTATTATTGAAAATGAGAATCAGATTGACAAAAGATGAACAACAACAAGTTGACATATTTATCATGGTAAAACTGTGCTTAATATTTTGCAGGCCAGATTGTGGCTTTCAGCTACTTACAACCCTGGGGTAATTTAGAGTCATACTGCTTCAGCTATTGGGATGAAATCCTGGCCTCACTGAAGCAATGGCAATGCACTTTATTGAATTCAATGGAGTCAGTATTTTATCCATGGACAGGGGAGTGCATGAAATGTACCTTTCCAGCCTGGAAATTCCAGGGGATCATTGAATTGGAAGGAACTTCCTTGGTCACTGAATTCAGTTCCTTGCTATTATAGCCAACCTCATCATATAATCTTCCCTTGGAAAAGCTGTTGTCTTTTCAGTACAATGCTATCAGTCAGCATGTTGGACCAGTAGGAGGAAAGGGTTCAATTCAAGCACAGATAATTTTATTGCCCTAGAACTTGGGTGGATAGGAAGACAGAGGGGGACAGAATAGGAATGGTCTGGCTTCACAAGTTATAGAAGTAATTGGGGAATAACTATGCTAAACGATCTGAGCATGCAAATGACAAAAGTATTTGTCAATAAGATCAGCTCTTACTTGCAACTTACATTTTGTTTTACCGTAGGAAAGGTGAGGGGGAGCACTTATCTGACTCTTAATGAAATCCAGGAAATTTCAGTGCATTTACCAGAATGACAACTTACCGTATGAAGATTGAGATATATAATAGTCCATCTGTGTAGCTGCTATTTCACATTGAATTTGAGATAGCATAATTAAGATTATATATATAGTTTAATAAATATAGCTAACTGTTGCCTGGAAATCTCTTGGTTGCATATCTATTAAATCAGAGGTCATATAAAAGCATTCACTGGAAATTTAAAATTGGAATAAAAAGTTTGGCTCAAAGAGGTTTGGCTGTGTGGAAATCTACTAGTCAAATAGGTTAAAATTATTCAATCCAACAGAAAGTGGTATTGAATCAATATAATACTTTGCTAAGACTAAATGGCAAGATATTTCACATTTTTATCTGATCGCTTAAGCTACTTGCAGTTGATGGGATGGCACTCATTTAGAACTCCTGTCATAACAGAGTGAGAAAGAAGCTAGCTGGCAGAAAAAAATACATAGAAGAGGATCAGAAGGATATCAAGTTTGTACATCTGTCTGTCTGTGTGTCCATCCATTTGTTTCATTTTGTTTGTTCAAGAATTCCTTATAAATGGTAAGAGCTAGGACCACCAATCTGGGATGTAGTTTCCTCTTATCATAACTTAAAGCAAGGTCAGCGTTTGGTTGGGCTAGGACAATGGTATGTGCGTGGAATGTGATTGTTTTTCATCAAACAGAAAGGGAGGGGTGTGATAGCAGAGACTGTTTTACCCCAGAATGACTGCAGAGGGGGCAGAAAGTGCACCAGCCTCAGAGAGCAGCCAGTGGTCAGCAGCATGGCCCCCACTGTCCCCAGGCTGGCCCTGGGGAGAAGTGGGCGGGTGGGCTGTGCAGCCCTCGCCACATCAAGGCTGGCCCTGGGGAAAAGCCAATCGGCAGGCTGTGCAGACTCTGCCACCCCTGGGCCATCCCAGGGAGAAGCTGGTAGCCACCCCCACCTCTTGCCCTGAGCCCCCTACCTGCAGCCATGTATCCCCCACCCCCTGCTCTGGCTCCTGCACTCCTACCCCTTTACTCCCCAATTCTGACTCATGCACCTCCCACACCACCAGCCCTCTGCCCTGAGCCCCCCACATTCCCAAGTCTTTGCCCTGACTCCAGTACCCACACACCCATGCCCTGAGCCCCTCCTTAATGACCCAAGCAACACCCGGTAAATTTTCTAGTCATATATAAAATGTCAAACAGTTAAAGTAGTAGTAAGCAAAGCCTCACTTTGGGACTTTCAGTGCACTGCAGCAGCATCCACATGGGATGTTACTGCACATCCAGTTGGTGCACTACAGGTTCACAACCTGCTTTGTTTGGCCTTCTTGTGCACCTCCCTGCACCGTTGTATATATTAAACCTTGTTCTTAAGCACTTTCCTTTACTACATTTAACAGATTACAAAAAGAATCTGACATAAGTTTTAGAAAAGAAGGACCATCTTCTAGAGGCAAAGCATACAAAGACATATATGCTGTGTGACCTCATTCCGGAGGGGGGAAATAAGTGAATAATTCCCACTTTCTCCTTGGGAGGAACCTAACTCAAAATTGTGTTACTACTGTGCTTGGAAATTGGCTTGAACAATTTACTGAAGGCTGTCTGGGAACATCTGTGAGCCCATAAAGGCCAAAGAGCAAAAATCAGAGTCAGTGACTATGTAGGATATCTACTAAGTTCTTCATGTGATATATACAGGGGGTGGGGGTGATCTGTCCTTGTGATTAGCGCTGGAGCCAGGAATCAAAGCTAAAGGTCAGAAACCAGGCAAAGGAGCACACCTGAGAATAAGGCAGGCATAGAAATGATCACAGCTGTGGCTGTAAATGCTGAGCAACCAGCAGCCTGCTGTTGCTGCTGGTCTAAGAGCATGCCTGGTGGTTCCTGCCTCCTATGAAGTGGGCCAATTAATCAGGCAGTTCTGCTGTTGCTCATCTGTGGTCATTCATTTGGAGCCAGAGCTAGTTCAACCAAGGCTTAATTGCAGGTCCACGGGATGAATTAATTCAGGGTAGTCATGGACAGCAACAACAAGTTCCTGCTTCTTATAGGCTACGTCTACACTGGCATAATTTTCTGGAAATGCTTTTAATGGAAAAGTTTTCCATTAAAAGCATTTTCAGAACAGAGCATCTAGATTGGCACGGACGCTTTTCCGCAAAAGCACTTTGTGGAAGAGCATCCATGGCCAATCTAGATGCACTTTTCCGCAAAAAAGCCCTGATCACCATTTTCGTGATTGGGGCTTTTTTGCGGAAAACAAATCTGAGCTGTCTACACTGGCCCATTTGCGCAAAAGTTTTGCGCAAAATGGACTTTTGCCCAAATGGGAGCAGCATAATGTTTCCGCAAAAAGCACTGATTTCAGACAGTAGGAAGTCAGTGCTTTTGAAGAAATTCAAGCGGCCAGTGTAGACAGCTGGCAAGTTTTTCCAGAAAAGCGGCTGATTTTCCGGAAAAACTGGCCAGTCTAGACACAGCCATAGCGTGTGGCTTTTGGGAGATGGAGACTCATGGAGGAAATACCTCCTTAGATCATGTCACAAGATCAAAATATGATGGGACTTATTCAAAGGATGGCAGAATTGCTGGGGAGAGACAGCTTTGCTACCTGGGAAAGCAATGCAGGGTACACACTAGCAGAGTAGCAGGGGACTTGGGAAATTGATTATCTTCTTAGGCTTGGCTAGTGATGCTAGATGGAGCCTTAGGTAGGCCAAGCCTAAGAAGATAGTGATGCTAGATGGAGCCTTAGGTAGGAGGACAGCTCGGGGCATACTAACTGGCAACCTCTGCAAGTCATTCTCACTGGCTTTTGAAAAGATGTAAAACTCAAAGCAAAGTTGATATGGTTAGTACAAAGACACGCAATAAATAAGCTATTATTAGGCTGCTAAATGTATCCATTTCCCATTTTAGAATATTCAGTTACAACATTGTAACAATTCAAGAAAGCTACTTTTCTAATATTCTAGAAGTCTGGAGTTAAAAATAATGCCAGTTTAATTGTCATTTTTCTCAGCTGATGTATAATGGCCTTTGAAATTTCAGAGTGCTAGTAACAGGTTCGGTCCTGTGTGTGAGCGCCCCTTGGTGGCCTCACAACTATTTAACTCACCTGTTTGCAGGCAAGTCAAAGTCCAGTCTGTGGCCAAGGTTCAGGCCTTCTCTTTTGCCCCCCCTCACTTAGGTCTGGTTTTCAAGGGGCTGCGGGGGGGGGAGGGAGGGAGACCCAGGCCCACCCACTCCTCTGGGTCCCAACCCAGGGACCCTATACATAGCTGTAACCTGCCAAGTTTCAAAGTCCATAATTATGGTCACATTACTGGGCCACTTCCCCAAGATGCAGTTTCATTCAGCCCTTCCCTAGGGCCTTGTTGCAGAGTTCCCCTTGTCCGGGGTGCTGCAGAGTTGTCGCTGGCTAGCCCTTAGCCACAGAATCTAGCTCCGCTTAGTTACAAGGGACCAGCTCCCACTTGGCACTGTCCAAGGTTCTGGTGTTCCCAGTCAGCCCAGAGGTCTGCCTGGGTTGAGCTCCAGGAAGGAACTGATAGGCCTTAGGTAGCAGCTCCTTATATAGCAGCCTGCCGCATCCTGATTGGCTGCAGTGAAGGCTGCCCCTCTATCCTGCTCGGAGGATCTCTCCTTTGCTCCTGCTACTGGCCAGGGTGCTGAAAGGCCTCCAGCAGGGAGGTCAGGCTTTGTCCGCCCCATCACAGTGCTTTTCTGAAGCATATGAGGACAGCTTTAAGTTATATGAACAATGTTGCAGAGTCTAAAAATTGCAGAGTATGCCAGCCAAGATCAGCATTAGTTTACACATAACAAATTGCTGTCATCTAATTTATGGTTTAGTGTTGTATTCTACTGATTTCACTTACTTTTGATAAACCCTCTTTTTTGGAGAGAGAACAGCTATATTAAACACAGACACAGTCAACATATGGCTCAGAAGATTTGCCCTTTTGCAGTCTATGATACATTGGAGACAAAATTTGGTTCAGAGACGGCCATCAAGCCTCTGGAGGCCAAATTTTTAAAAACAAAGGTTAGAGAACAAGTAGCCTTACAGCTTCCGGAACAAACTACAAAGCTAATTTAAAAGATGTCTCCTCTTTCCTACAACACTCACAATATCATTATTTAAAAAGATGAAATCAAAACTATTCCTGCTACTGGGGAGGATACAGTCTATCAGTTGACAGAGGCCTATACACAAAAGAAAGATAATATCTAGCTGTATATTTAGAAATGTGCATCTGTCTGTGAGTCTGTTTGTTCAAGAACTCCTCTTAAATGGGAATAGCTAGGACCACTAAGTTTGGTATGCAGCTTCCTCTTCTCTTAACTTAAAGTAAGGTCATAGTTTGGTTATGCCAGGAAAATGGGAAGTATGGGGAATGGGACTGTTTTCCATAACAAGGAAAGGGATGGGATGTTTGGAAGGATGCTATAGTCACAGTGTCCACTGGGGGCGGCGTGTGATGGAGAGAGCTGTACTTCAGAGTGACCACAGGGTGGCTGCTATATCAACCAAGGGAGTGGTCAGCTGGGGATGGGATTTGCCATTTTGCCTGCCACATGACTGAATAAGTGTCCCCCCCCCACCCAGGAGAAACCTGGTGCCCCTCTGCTCCAGGAAGGGAAAGGGAAAGGGCCCCCCACCTTGGAAGATGGGGGAGAAAGCCCCCAGCAGTCCTGGTCTCCTGTCTTGACTTATTCACCCCTCACACTGCCACCCCTTGCCTTGAAGGACCCAGGCAATGCTGAATAAGGTCTTCTAGTAACAATATAAATAAAAGAATGTAAAGACTCTTAGTTCAACTAGCCAATATGTGGACATACCTAAATTGAGTAACCATGTCACTGTACACCACTGCCTGCTGACTTATCACTCACATTGGTTTTACCACTCGTTATGTTTACAGTGTAACCTCTTGGGCAGTGAGTGTGCCTGGTGATAAAAGCTCTGAACTGGAACTCAGTGATGAGGGTTCAGTGCTCTGCTCAGCCACAAGCTTCCTGTACGATCTGGAGCAACTAAGGTTATGTCTACACTACAGACCTTACAATGGCACAGCTCTACTGTTGCAGCTGCACTGCTCTGAGGGCTCCCATGTAGC